CGTCTGCGAGGCGTTGCTACAGGCGGGCCACGCCGGCCGCTTGAGCCGCTTCCTGGGCGCACTGCCCCCAGCCGAGCGCCTACGTGGCAGCGATCCGGTGTTGCGCGCTCGGGCCCTGGTGGCCTTCCAGCGGGGCGAGTACGCCGAGCTCTATCGGCTGCTCGAGAGCCGCCCCTTCCCCGCTGCCCACCACGCCTTCCTGCAGGACCTCTACCTGCGCGCGCGCTACCACGAGGCCGAGCGGGCCCGCGGCCGCGCGCTGGGCGCCGTGGACAAGTACCGTCTGCGCAAGAAGTTCCCGCTGCCCAAGACCATCTGGGACGGCGAAGAGACTGTCTACTGCTTCAAGGAGCGCTCCCGCGCGGCGCTCAAGGCCTGCTATCGCGGCAACCGCTACCCCACGCCGGACGAGAAGCGCCGCCTGGCCACGCTCACCGGCCTCTCGCTCACGCAGGTCAGCAACTGGTTCAAGAACCGACGACAGCGCGACCGGACTGGGGGCGGCGGCGGCGCGCCCTGCAAGAGGTGAGGGGACCCGTGCGGCGCCAGTCCCGCTTCCCAGGGGACGTGCCCTCTTTCCCCATGCCCGGTGCTGGAGTCAGGGCGCCGAAGTCCTCGGACACCCCAGACTCACACCCTCAGGCGCCCGTCAAGCTCAGTGAATCCGTGTGGACGGAACGGGCGCGCGCCCCAGCCATCTCCCCGACACCAATGCTTCTCTCGCGGAGGCTGGGAGACCGCTTCCCTCTGCTCCACTCAAGGCTCCATCGCGGATGCCGTCGCTGCCCGTGGCTAGACCCGGGGGAGGCAATGAGAAAATGAGGGGCTGCGAGAAAGGAGGAGGGGCCTTTGTCCACCCGCCGGCGTAGAGTTTTGCTCAGGCCCCTTCGCTACCTGGCCTTCAGATCGTAGCTCCGTCTCACCCACTCCCGCCCGCACCCCGCCCCGCCGCAGGGCCCAAACAGCGTGGTCTGTCGTCTGTCTTTGTTGTGAAACGTGAACCTTCCCCAGCTCCAGTTTCCCTGTAACCCAAGCCCTTCCCCTCCCACCCTGCGCGCCGGCCTCACACTCCCTACTCTGACGCCCGGGGGCAGGGCACCGGGAACTGAGCCTGCGAGTACCTCCTTACTCTCTCCAAAGCCAGTCGGCTGCTTTGACTGCTTTGAGGCCGACCCGGAGACTTCGGGCAGCCTGAGTGCTCAGCCTCCTGGGCCCTGAGGCCGAGGAGTTGGGAGAGGAGGGCTGCCTCAATACCCATTCTGCCAGCTTGAGCTTTTAGGCCGTGGTAGCAATGCAGGGCTTGCAGAGATTCTGCTCTTGGGGTCCTTGGATGGCCTCAGAGAGGGGGTTTCGTAACTCCCCAGGAATTGTCCACGAAACTTCGGGCTGGGGAAAGGTGGGGAGGCAGTGGTCAGCTTGTGCTCCCCCAGAGCAGTTTGCATCGGCTCTGTAGGAATAGGGCTGGCCAGTGGGCAAGCACAACTCACAATCCTTTTTTCTGGCCAGCGAGTCTGATGGGAACCCCACTACCGAGGACGAGTCCAGCTGCAGTCCTGAGGATCTGGAGAAGGGTGTGCCTCCAGTGGCTGCCGAAGCCCCTGCCCAGGGCTCCATTTTCCTGGCCGGGGCCGCCCCTCCTGCACCATGCCCTGCCTCCTCTTCCATCCTGGTGAATGGGAGCTTCCTGGCCACCGGCAGCTCTCCAGCCGTGCTTCTCAATGGGAGCCCGGTCATCATCAACAGCCTGGCTCTAGGCGAGGCCTCTAGCCTGGGCCCCCTGCTGCTCACCGGGGGCGGGGGCACCCCTGCCCCACAGCCCAGTCCCCAGGGGGCCAGCGAGGGCAAGACCTCCCTGGTCCTGGACCCTCAGACTGGGGAGGTTCGACTGGAGGAGGCTCAGCCAGAAGCCCTGGAGACCAAGGGGACCCAGGTGGCTGCCTCAGGGCCATCTGGAGAGGAGGTCCCAGGGCCTCTGCCCCAAGTGGTGCCTGGCCCCCCACCAGCTGCCACCTTTCCTCTGCCCCCAGGACCAGTGACCTCCGTGGCTGCCCCACAAGTGGTGCCACTCTCCCCACCCCCTGGCTACCCTGCTGGCCTGGGCCCCACCTCCCCACTGTTGAACCTGCCCCAGGTGGTGCCCACCTCACAGGTGGTAACCCTGCCCCAGGCTGTGGGGCCACTGCAGCTGTTGGCAGCAGGGCCAGGCAGCCCCGTGAAGGTGGCAGCTGCTGCAGGCCCTGCCAACGTGCACCTGATAAACTCCGGGGTGGGCGTGACTGCCCTGCAGCTGCCTTCAGCCACTGCCCCAGGTACCCGCTTCTGGTGGCTGGGTGGGGGGTGCAGCTATCTCAGGGAAGGATGGTGCTGTGGGTGGGTTTCCTAGGGTGGTCGGGGCAGGAAGGGGAGTTCATTACTGGCGGGTCCCACACCCTCCTGTGCCAGATAGTACCCTCCGGCTCAAGCCACACAAGCCCAACCTCACCAAGAAGGGGCTCCTTTTCTCGCTGGCTAATCTACCTGCCTGCTCTCCAGCGTCTTAAATCCTCACCTCCTTGCCTGGCCCTGCTCCTCTCCCTACAGGAAACTTCCTGCTGGCCAACCCCGTGTCTGGCAGCCCCATCGTGACAGGTGTGGCCGTACAGCAGGGCAAGATCATCCTTACCGCCACCTTCCCCACCAGTATGCTGGTCTCCCAGGTCCTGCCGCCTGCCCCCAGCCTGGCCCTGCCCCTGAAGCCAGACACAGCCATCTCAGTGCCTGAAGGGGCCCTCCCGGTGGCCCCCAGCCCTGCTCTCCCTGAGGCCCACACCTTGGGGACACTTTCTGCACAGCAACCACCGCAGCCGCCGCCTGCCCCTGCCACCACCACCGCCAGCCTGCCATTCTCCCCAGACTCCTCCAGCCTCCTGCCTGGTTTCCCAGCGCCCCCGCCCGAGGGGCTCCTGCTGTCGCCCGCGGCCGTGCCCATCTGGCCAGCAGGGCTGGAACTGAGCACAGGCACCGAGGGGCTGCTTGAGGCAGAGAAGGGGCTGGGGACACAGGCCCCCCACACCGTGCTGAGGCTGCCTGACCCCGACCCCGAGGGGCTGCTCCTGGGGGCCACTGCGGGGGGTGAGGTTGACGAGGGGCTAGAAGCAGAGACCAAGGTGCTGACCCAGCTACAGTCAGTGCCTGTGGAAGAGCCCTTGGAACTGTGACCCAGTAGGCCCTACAGCCTCCCCTGACAATGGTGCTCAAGATCCAGGATGGCCCGGGAGGAGGGAGCCTCTCATAAACAGGATGGCTGCCATCTGAAGATGCCACACACTACACCCGCCCCCATCGCCACTCAACCTCTCCGTGTCCTGGAGGTCCACTCCTGTCCAGGGGCACCGTCCTCTGGATGGGACACCTCCTCTGTTACAGCCCTGTCCTTGCTCTGCCCCCTGATATGTAAGGGGAGATCTGGGGGTCCTGACTCAGGGGCTCTGTCCCCCTCGACCTGGTACTAAGTGTGAGCTAAAAGCCCTATTGAATGGCTGGATTTCCACCCTCTTTGGAGCCCTCTCCCTATCACTCCCTACAACACTATTAATAGCTCCACTGACATCCAGTGTTCCCAGGACTGCTTGGAATCTGTGCATGGAGGACAGGCAGTCCTGTGCCCAGAGACCAACAGATCCTCCCAGCCCAGCCCTTCCTGCTGACAAGACAAGGGATGCAGGTGTAGGGGGTACGGGCCAGGGTCCTCCCCTAGCTCCTCCTGGAGCAGAGCTCTCGGTATCACGTCCAGCCCCAGACCAAAGATCCCCTCACCCCCAGGGCAACCCTGACCCCTGTGTCTAGTTTGTATCCTAAATCTTTATTTTTCTAGGACATGTAATGCCTTCGTTTCAATTAAAATAAAGTTAACAGACAATTAGTACCTCTACCTTCCAACGACTTGCCCAAGGGAAAATTGAACCACCAAAAAGTGCACCTCGAGATTCTGGCTTTCTGATCGCTACTCCCTGAGGGGGAAGGGGGTTTGGAGGTTAGATCTGCGATGCTGCTAGAGAAGGTTCCCACAGTGGGGTTTCTTTCAAACTGATGGGCCTGGAAGGAGTGCTTCCCAGGGCTGAGGAAGCAGGGCACCTGGGAGCCTGCCTTGTCTCTTGCTGGTAACAATGTTTCTACTTTATTTTGTTGAAAACAATAGATAATCTATAAATAGAACAGGTTGGGAGGAGTAGAGTGAGGTGAGACTGAACAGGGTTGAAACCATTTGATTCTGGGGTGGGCGGAGGAAGGGCAGGGGAAAACTTCACTTCCCTGCATTTCATTCAGGGCTCCTGCCTCCACCCTGCAGCTCCTGGGAGAGGCCCCTGGGGTAGAAAGGGGTTGTGAGAAGGTTGGCAGAAGGCAGGCAGGTGAAGTTCAGGCTGCCCCCGTGTAAGGCAAATGCACAAAGCATTGGGGTCAGTAAATACGGCACCCCTAGCCCTGGGGGACCTCACCAAGGAGAACTGCATTAGTGGGGCTGAGGCCCAGGATAGGACAACCTCTTTATCACTGGCTCCTGTTTTCAAAGGAGAGCTGCAGGAGGTAGGGGTGGGCGGGAGACCACAGTGGGGTCGCCCTCACATGTGGTGAGGAGGCAGCAGAGAGGCAGGGTCTGAGGAGCAGCGGGCCTTCTCGGCCAGCAGCTGGTAGAATGGCTTGGGGGTCCCCCAGTCCTCATCATCGCTGCTGGAGCTGTCCTGCTTCACGATGCGGTTGTGCTGGCGGCTGAACCTGCGTGCTTTGATGCTGGGGGAGAGGTGGGAGGTTGGATGAGCAGGGTTCCTAGCCTGCCTCCCGGGCAACTCTGTCCTACCCCTAGCGCTCTGGCCCCAGCAGTGACCAGGGCCTTATCTGGCCCAGCTAGGGGAATCTCCGGGCCCCCAGGTCCAAGTCTACAGGCTTGGATTTGGTTCAGGGCTCTTTGCTGGAGCCGCAGGTCCCTGTGAGACCCATTACAATCTGTGCGCATGTATGTGTGTTTCCAGAACCAACTGAGAACTGGACAGGTGGCAGCTCTTTGAAGTTGGTGGAGAGGAGGGGGTTTCAGGAGGGAGGAAGGATCAAAGGGGAGGAGAAAAGGAGGCCAAATGACTGGGAAGTGAGACCTAGTTTCCTGCCCTGAGAAACTCCCTGTGGCAGAGAGGGCAAAGGAAGTTTAGGGCAGTGGGGTCCAAATACACAACTGATCTATTTGACCTTCTAAGTTACAGCGTTAGAGCATCACTCTACTTTTGTCATTGTGACATCCAAATCTCCCACCCCAGGAAACTCCCAACCTGTTTCTAATATCACAAAGTTCAAGGCTCAGAAAATCAGAGCTGGAGAAGGAGCAGGGAGGCCTCTCTCCTCCACCAACCATGCCTTCTGGGCGGGGGCTTCTCACCAGTATGGTCTCCGCTCCTGCAGGGTCATCACCCGCCAGAGTTGGGCCAGCTCCTTGGTGGCAGTGGTGGATGCAGTCCCAGGGCAGGCTCTGGGGAAGCGGGGAGGAGAAGGTGAGGAGACGCCTGCAGCCTTGCCTCGCTTGGGCGAAGGCCAGTGATCTGACTACACGAGAGGGTCCCTTGCCTGCTCAGAGCCGCAGCTTTCCCATCTGAGAACTCAGATCTTTATTGTGTTGCCTTGAGAGGCCTACCCTTTGTGCCCTCTGGAGCAGAGGTGGCAAAGAAGGCAGCTGGACTAAATGCTGCTTGGAAATGGGCCACCAAGTGTCCCAGGACCTGCATCTGCTTGCTCCGATGCCAGCACCAGCTCTTCTTTGAGGCTTGGGGGCCTCCCCACAACCCCTGGCTTCAGGCCGGCAATGATCACTTCAGGGCTGGGTGCCTGGTCTATCAAGTCAGCCCCAAAGACTTTCACTAGAAACCTTAGAAATGAGAAGCTCCTTCCCATAGGGTAGCTGGGGTGGGAGACAGGACTCTGAAACTGGGGAATAGCCTGGCCCAGCGCTTTTGAGCACAGCCAACCTGGAGAGCGGAGCACAGAGAGGGACAGAGATCCCGGACAGAGGTCATTTGAGGCCTAGGACCGACCACATCTGAAGGCAATCCACCCCTCCCCTTTTTCTCAGGTGATATAAGCCAATTAGTTGTCTTGTTTCATAAGTCTGAGTTGCATTTTACTGCTTACAGTGCAGCGGGGCCTGAGGGACGCCTGGGGAAAGTGTGACTGAGGACTGTGTCGCCAGCAGTGGGCAGCAGGCTCTGAGGGCCCCAGTCAGGGCCAAAGAGGACGCCTACCCACCGGATGTACTGCTTCCTGTTCATCCTGCAGAACATGATGAAGCCATTGACACACTTCTTCTTCGTCTGGGTGAGGCAGGGGGCTTTCTTGCTTTCCTTGGGCTTCACAGGGCCCCTGCCCGCCTGGCCCTTCCTGGCCTTCCTTCCAGCTGCAGGCAGAGTTGAGGCCCTCCGGGTTGGGGTCCATGTGTAGTCCCCGTCCTCTTCACTGGAGGACTGCAGGCCCTTGAGGTCAGCCTGAGTGTCCTGGGTGGGGGACAGAGAGGTGAGGGTGGGCAGGAGATGTGGGACCGACCTGGCAGATGGCTGTCCTCCTCACCTCCTGCTGCCTCCACCCCAAATCTGAGTCTCTGTCCTCCGAGCTGGGGCTAGATGGCTCCTTGCTGTTCTCACTCAGCGAGAGGTAGCAGCGGTCCATTGAGATCGAGGACTGACACAGGCTATGGGAGTCAGGAAGGTCTTCCCAAGCCTCAGGGGGTGTGTCCTGGGGGGGGTGAAGGAGAAAGACAGGAGCAGATATGAGGGGGATGGTGGTGTCTCTTCATGGCCTCCACTCACTGCTTCCCTAGGATGTAACAGGAGCATCACAAATAGCTCAGGTTCAAAACGGTCTTATCCAGACACTCCCTCAGATGGTCAAGCAAGTGTACCCACGGGGGTCAGAGAGAAGCTGGACAGGGGTCTTCTGCCTTCTATTTTGGGGTACTGTATCTTAATCCCATCAGTTTACCACCTTGGGAAGTAGCCCTGTCGCCCTGGACAAGTCTTAACTCCTCTGAGCATCAATTTTATCCATGAGTGGTGGTCACTACACACTCTGCAAGGCTGAGAGGCACCTGGGGCAATGCCTGCACTTACTAGAGCTTTGCTAAGAGTTTTTTTCTGCTGCCAATTCAGCTACTCATTGAAGCAGGAGGCTGCCCCTACACAACACTGGAAGGAGAATCATTTGGGGACCAGAGCTGTGGCTGCCCCTCTGTCAACAGGATGTTGAGCTACGAGAGCCAACAGTGGCTCAGGAGGTAAGCCTGGGGGCCTGGGAGGGAGGCTTTTTCCAACTGAGGATCCCAGGGGTTGCCTGCTGTTTTCAGTTTTGTCACTTTTCAAATGGGGTCACAAGTGATCCTGCCTCATATAGCAGTCAGAAAATTATGTTGGGTCTTTTCTGGGCACCTGGCAGTTTTTAGCTTTTATCCTTTGTGTCTACTTCATTCCAAGGGCCCAGCACAGAGCAGGGCGCCTGGTGGCCAGCAGGGAGTGTTCAAAGGATGGGCAGGTGAAGGCACAGATGGTGGATGAGTCCCTGGAAGGATGAGGGGAAGCATGATGGATGGACAGGTGATGGCTGGGGGAGGTGGCTGAAAGGTCAAGGGGATGGATGAGTGAATCGAGCAGGTGGAAAGAAGGATGGATGGATCTGTGGACAGATGGGTGGACAGACACCTACCTTCTCCTGTGGTACCTCGAGCATGCAGGCAGAAGGTGGAGACTCAGGATTTAAGAATGCTTCTTCAAAGAGAGCTGTTGGCGGGAGACCAGAAGGGTGACTGGGCCAGAAACACCTCTCTCAGGGCACTGTGCCTCTGTCCTGCCACACCCCCTAGCCAGAGTGCCCATCTCTGGCTTTTAGCTTTGGGATCTCCTGTCCCAAGTCCAAATCCAGCTCACAGGCCAGGTCCCCTGGGAAGCCTCCAACCTGGGCAGAGCGAGTGGGTTCCTGCTGTGGGCTCCTGGAGCTTTCCACGCATCACACTGGCCAGGGGCTGCTCCCTACCAGGCTTTGGGCTCCTCGAGGGATGGGATAGGATTCATCCTGGGTGGGATTCACCCCTGGGTGTCCAGCCCTGCCAAAGACAGGGCTGCACACTTGGCAGGCATGAATAGGTTTTTTCCTCCTGAATGAACCAAGCATCAGGTATAGCCCTGGGTGCTCACCTTGGGTCAGGTACTCAGTGCCGTCCTCCAAGATCTGTTCTGGCAGCAGTTTCCCTGGCGAGCTGAAGAGGGAGGGGCTGAACCCTAGGATCTCGCTCGGGTGGCCTGTCACACTCCAGGTCTCCATCTGTGGAGGCCCCAAGGCCAGTGGGCTCCCTGAAAAGGAAGTATTGGGGTTAGGGGTGTGTCAGAGGTTGCCCTCCCCCTCAGCACAGCTGCCATCTTGGAGGAGATGGTGCCGGACGCTGGAGAAAGGACAATGTTAAGAAAGATTCTGAGGTAGTGTCTGGGATCAACAGAAGATTAGCAACGTCTGCCACGGCAACTGATGGCTCAGGTCTTAGTGGATGTCCATTCCCTTTCCCACCTTCCCCACTTCCACAGAAATCCCCAGAAGAAAGGTACCAAGAAGGCCCCACACTAGCCTACAAGGAGGGGAGATAGAGTGTCAGTCACCATGGGGGCTGCCCTCCAGGATCCAGGCAGGAAGCCAAGGGTCGGCATCTAGGGACTCCTTGTCCACCTCCTCACTGGAGTCGTAGAATACCAGCGTCTGCCTGCAAGAGGTGAAATGCAAGAGGTGGAGCTGAAGCCCTGAGCTGGAAACTGCGCTGGGCCCGAAGGTGAGCTGCTTCCCCTCTGGGTGTCTCAGTGTCACCCACTGTGGAGTTGGACAGGGATCTCTCTGTGCTGGCTGCGACGGGAGCACTGGGGGCAGAAAGCTCAGTCAGTGGAGGCACCCACCCGGAGCCTCAGGGCTTGTTAGGAGAGGCCAGCTGTAACCAGAACTGATGACTTGGGGAGCAGAGCTGTGATGGGGGGTTGAGGAGGACAGAGAAGGCGGGCAGGAGGGAGGAGCGTGCTGAGCTCGGCCTAGAGGATGGGTGGTCTTCCAGGTGGATGAGGAGAACAGGCTTCCAAGAAGAGGGAACAAAGGTGAGAAGCCCAGAGGAGACCAGGGCTTGGCTCCCATGGGGAGTGGCAAATATTTGGTGATGTTAAGGGTAAGATTTGGGAGGGGGAGGGTGTAGCTCAAGTGGTAGAGTGCAGCTCAAGTTGTAGAGCGCATGCTTAGGTCCTGGGTTCAATCCCTGGTACCTCCTCCAAAAATAAATAAATAACCCTAACTACCTCCCCCTCAAAAAAATAATTAAAAAGTGGAAAAAAAAAAAGGTACACCTGGGGCCAGAGAGAGTCTCAAATGCCAATTAAGATATTTGGGCTCTACCCAACAGAAAGGAGTAGCTTAAAGCCGAAAACTGACATGGTCTCTGGGTTAGAAAAGCCCCTCAGGTGACTGGTGGGGACGGGCTGGAAGGGTGAGAGAGGCCGGTGAGGGGCTGCGGCCCTGGTCGGCACACAGGAAGCAAGGCTTTCCCTCAAGCTTATGACAGCTGGCCCAAAGCTGGGCCCACGGAGGTCCTCACTCTACAGACGCCAGCAGAGAGTAGAAGCTGATCGCATTGCTCTCTAAGCCTTAGCCATTCCTGGCCAGACACCTCCAATTCTCCAACTCACAGCCCTTGGGCTTCCCTTACCTGGGGCAATTCTGTGTCCTGTTGAGAAAATGGGTCCTCTCAGCCCCTTGCTGGCCCTTGAAGGCAGGGTAAGGCTGCACGTCCTGGGCACTGTTTTTGCCCCAGCAGCCTACGAGACAAGTCAGGATGATCACTCCTGTGACAGGGCCAAATCCCAGGATGCACAGAGGCAGGGACAGGGAGGCGCCAGGGTCTGCCATGGCCTCTCCCTTCCCCATCCTAGCCAAAACCTCAGGCTGCAGGGTCTCTGTGTGAGGCTCAAGGGTACCCTGAATCACCCCTAGGGTTCTGGAATCCCTGTCCCTTTCAGAAGCTATAAGGAAGATAAAAGCCTTAAGTGGAATAATGATGATGAAGGTGATGATAGTAAACAAGTCTATGGTGCTTGCCACACCAGCTCGGTTTTAATCACTTTACTCACTATTCAGTAACCCTTTTCCAAAGGGTGTGGTTATTATAATACCCATTTTCAGATAAGTAAACTGAAGTATATTGAGTAACTTGCCCAAGGTCACACAGCAGAAGACCTGGGACACCCTCCCTCACCAGGTGGGTTAGGTACCTCCTCTGAGCTCCCACAGCCTCCTGGGCCACCCCAGGAAGCGAGCGTGTGCAGTTCCTTCACTGGACCGTCAGCCACACGGGGCATGTGGCCTAGCACAGAGGAGATGCCCAGCAAGTGAGGGCTAATGAATGGACAGAGGAATGGGATGACCCGGGGCCTCGCCTTCCAGTTCTCACCTACCCAGATCTGCTGGGTGTGTCACACCTTTTCAAGCTGGTGCAGGGACGGGGACCCACAGGAGCGATTATCTGGCTGCTTCAAGGGAAGGAAGTTTCCCAGGGAGGCCCTGCTCTTATTCCCAGTTCTGTGATCCTGTCCCCCCCACCCCACCCTTAACACCCACCGCAGAGCCTGAAGGGAAAAGAAAACTGAGACAGAAGCTGTGAACAGTGTCTCTCTGTCCCCCATAGAGTCTCCGGCTACTAGGACTGTACCCGGATGTTGCAAGTGCCCGATAAGCCGTGTATAAACCACCGGCTAAGTTAGCAGAGGGGAAAGAGACCAACTTGAGATGTCACAGAGGACACTGTTCTCAGCCATATCCAGCAATGTCAACTGGAATCATCCTCCCTTTCTGTCACCTTGAGACAGGGATGACGCAGCCTTGGGGTGACTGTAGGAGTCGGGGCATCTTGGAGGGGTGGTGGTTCCCACCACGTTTCTTTCTTTCTGGTCTGGGGATGGGGTCACCTCCTTCTCAGGCTTGTCCAAGGCCAGACAGCGACGAGGGTTCTGGGCCTGGGTCTGGCCTTCTGGGAGAGCAGAGACAGCATCAGACAGGGGTGGGGGCCTGACTGTTACCAGAAGGTGGTTCAGGTGGGGGTCTCCTTTGCGGTGGGCCCGACAAGCCATTTCAAAGCTTTGCCTGGTCTGGTCACTCCGCAGCCCTTCCTGGGCAAGCCCGGGATCTCAGTTAGAGATCACCTAGTCAGACACCCCCTTCCCCTGTCCGCACGTTAGAATCACTTTGCAGGCTCTGAAAAGATCCCGCTGCCCAGGCTCCACCCAGATCACTGAAGCCTGACTTTCTGGGTGTGAAGCCTAGGCACAGGCATTTTGGAAAGTACCCCTATGATTCAGATGTGCAGCCAGGGCTGGAAATCATTGATTAGGTCCAACTCCCATTTTAAAGGCATGGAAACAGAGTCCCGCGAAGGGGAAGGGACATGGGGTGAGTTGGTAGTGAGGCTGAGGTGAGACCTGCGACACTTGCCTCCCATACTGAGGTCCTTCCACTGCCCCACACTCCCCGAGCCCTGGCCCAGCGATGGATAACTGGGCAGAAAGACGATAAATGCTGACAGCAGCTTCCATTTGCTGGGCTCTTGCCGTGTGCCCCTCCTTTAAGCATTGCTTGAGGGGTGCGTACATGGGCTCCCAGTCCTGAAGACCACCCTGTGGCAGTTCAAAAATACTCTAATTTCCAGACCGGGAAGCTGAGACTCAGAGAAGGAGAGGGACCACCCCAGGCCTCAGAGCTAGGAAGAGGACGAGGCAGGAGTCGAACCCAGGCACATCTGAATCTAAACTCTTAAGAAGGGCTCAGTCAGGATTGCCTACTGGGCCTCCCTCCTGTCTGACCCCTGCTTCCTGTTCTGCCTCCACTGACAGCTTGTACCTGACACTCGGGCTGCCTTCTTCTTCCGAGGTTTCAGGCAGGCTCCCTGAAGATGAGACTTATAAGAGCGTGGAGAGCTAGATGGGGTGGAGTGTCTCCGCCCTGCTGGGCCTGCGGCGGGCTTCCGGCCCAGCCCTGCACAAGACAGAGCGAGAGACAGGTCAGATGCCTTCACCCTCCTCCGACCCAAATCCTGCCTCCAGACAATGCTTCCCAATGGAGTTGGGGGCCAGGGGTCTGCCACAGTCCCCAGACTGACTATACAAATGTCGAAACTGAGGTCCCAGGAGGAGATAGGACTTGTCTGAGGTTGCATACGCAGGCAGCAGAAGTACAGGGCAAAAACTCAGATTTCCCCAGATCCATTACAGGCCTTGGCCAAATGAGAAGGAAGACAGACTCAGCCCTTCTCAAATGCATCCCTGTCTTCCTCTTCCAAACCAATTCTTCCTCCTACCTTCCTCAAGACAGTGGGGTGTCTCCTTAGGAGGCCCAGGGCCTCTCCCTCAGGCCTCTCAGTTCTTCCTCATTAACATCTCCCAAGTTTACCCACTTCTGTCCATATTCTCAGCTACAGTGTTAGACTAGCTTCATCTTCTGCTGTCCAGATCTTTCCTAAAAGCATATTCACTGAACTTCCCAACTGAATGTGGCTTTCCTCTGGCTTCAAGTCCTTCAGTAATTCTTATCTTCTTCTCCTTCCTTAGCTGGGCACTCAAAAGCCCTTTTGAATCTTATCCCTGCCACATCTCTAACCCGTCTTGCCCTGTGCTTATCACACCAATGACAGCAGCAGCCGGCACACAAGTATTAGACGACTGGCATGTCCCAGGCGCTGTGTTACACTCTTGATGTGTATTAACTCATCTCATCCTCACAACAAACCCAGAAAGGAAGTACAAGTATTAGTCTATTTTGCAGCTGAGGGAACAGAGGCACAGAGAGGTTTAGGTCACAGGACGTGTACCTGATTCAGGATCTGGCTCAAGAGTCTGCACCTGTCACCTGGGTGCTACAGAGCTCCTGTGGTCATACACAACTGCTAGCCTATCCCCAGATATTCCACATGTGTCCTCTCATGCCTACAGGCTCTTGCTCACACTGTTTCTTCTGCCTGGCACAGTTTCCTCTTCCCTGTCCTCAAAAGCCCCCCTCCAAGGCCCCTCCCACCACAGTCTTCCCAGACACCCTCCTCCAAGGTCACAGCACCCTGCACATCCCTCTGGCTTTGTCCCATGCCCTGGGCTGTGATTTCCCGGAGGGCCTGGACCCGGCTAAGTCACTCAGTGTCCCTGACAGCCAGGACCATACTTGGCACACAACAGGCCCTGGGAAACGCTGGCTGAACTTACTCACCCCCAAGTCCACCTTCCCCATTGGTGGTGTGGAATTTGAGCAAGGCCTTGGCCACATCGATGCTTCTCTGGAGGTACTGAATGTAGTGCAGGACGTGCAGCAGAATCTCCTTCTGCCCCCGGAAGAGAGACAGGTTTGAGCCCAAGAGCAGGGGTTCAAAATGGATGGGCTTCAGGACCCTGTGCCCCAGCCCAGCAATCCCCTCACTGGCAGAAATGTTTCTGTTCTGCTGTTTAGTCCTCAGTGGGGCCCAGGAACATGGTGGTTCCAGCTAAGGAAATTGAAGCTCAGGGTACTCAAGGAATGTGGTAGGATTACAGAGAGGAAGCAGCAGAGTTGGGATCTGAACCCAGGCTTGCCTGCCTCCTGGTATGGTTGTTGCACACACAATGTTTGACTTCCCACCCCTGGTCCTTGGCATATGCTGAATTCTCTATCTGCAAAACCCTCTTCTTCTCCCCACAGACTCCCTGTCTGACTTCTCCTCCTTTCAGCCTCAGCACAGTGCTTTCCTCTTCCAGAAGCTTCTCCTGCCCCCCTGATCCCTCTCCCCCAGGCTGGGTCAGATATCCCTCCTCAGCACTCTTGTAACACCCAGGGCCTGTTTCCACCCAGGCACTTGCTACACTGTTTTATAATTATCTGTTTAGGTGGCATTCTCCCCCATTGACCTTGAACTAGTTGAGGGTAGAGACTGTAGCTAGTTGATTTCTGGATCCCAAGCACACAGAATCAAGAATTGCTGAAGGAGTGACTCCCACAGTACCAGCAGGCAGCCCCCTTCCAGCCACCAAACACTGACTGAGTTGGTATTGGAGATACCAAGCTAAAAATGTACTACCCACTAAGGGCCACATGGAGGGGTGAGCTAGACATACTTTCATTTGCCTTCATGGAATTTATAATCAGGGAGGGAGACAGACCTTAATAAACTCATAATTTATATGGAATTATTGACCTTGTGATAAGCATTATGAATAAAAGAGTAGAACACAGAGGATTCTGAATTTAGACTTTCTGGGTGTCCAGAAAGGCCTCTGAAGTGGAAGCAGAGGTAGAGGAGTGATCAGAAGATGCTACTCTGCAGGCTTTGAAGGGGTCATGGGCCGAGGACTACAGGCGGCTTCTTCTGTTGGCAAAGGGAGAGGAAGTGGCTGCTCCCTTGGAGCCTCCAAGAGGAACCAAACCTGCTGACTCTCTGACTTCAGTCCAATGGGACTGATTTTGGAGTTCTGACCTCCAGCACTCTGAGAGAATTAATTTGTTTTGTTTTAAGCCACTAAGTGTGTAGTAATTTGTTACAGTAGCAACAGGAAACTAACACAAGCACCTACAACTGAGAGAGATTTAGCAGAGAGAATCAACGGGACCTGGTGATGGATGGGCCAGGGTAGGCAGGGAGAAGGCTAAGGAGAGGGTCAGGCAAATCTCTTACAAACCTCCACTGCTCTGAACCTCTCTGAAAGCAAATAGCACATTCTAGCTGGGATCAGTTATTCCTGCATTCAGATCTTTATCTTCTTGACCAGATTCTGAGTTCCCAGAGGAGGAGGGCTGGGTCTCAAATTTCTCCCCCCACCCCTTGTTGGAAGCATAACAGCTTCTGACATCCAACAGTCTTTCCATACACGGCCGCTGAGTGAATGGATGAGGGGCTGAATGAGAGAAACGAGAGCAAGAAAACATCACACCAGACTTTCACAATCTCTGAGTCTCATATTAAGTTGTTCCTCCTGGGAGCAAGTGTTAGCTCAGTTCTATAAACCTTTATTAAGTAGCCACTGGGGACATCCAGAGAAGCTTTATCTATTCCTAGCTCATGGAGATGGTCCCCACAGGGTCACAAAAGAAGACACTCGGACAGGGAACCAGCATTTATTCAGGCCCTGTCATAGCTATCACGTCATTTTGGCCTCACGGTATCTCTGTGTAGGAGGAGTTATCGTCCCTTGTTTTATAGCTGAGAAACCTGAGGCCCGTGAGGCTGATAACCTGAGTGAGCTGCCTGGGGTTCTCCAGGTGTGGAGCTGGAGGACTCAGATCCACGGCTGTTTGACTCCCAGAATGAGGACCTTTCCCCAGCATCTTGCCAGTTTTTTCCCTCCCAATTCCTCCTGCCTCCTTTGTCAGAAAGAATCCCCCAGGCTTGTAGTCACGGAATCACAGGCTCCTGGAAATTTCCACTCAGAGCAGGACCACTCCCACATCAATGCTGTCACTGGGTGGGTTTCCTATCTAGGTTTCCCAAGACAAGGGAGGTCAACTCGATTACTGATATTTTCAGATCTGCCTCCAAACTCCCCCTCCTCTCCTTCAGCCCTTCTTACCTTGGTGAGTTTCTTGGTACCTGTCCTCAGGGCCACGGGTAGCAACAATGCCAGCTCTTGCAGTTTGCTGGTGTGATTTTTCCTCTGCCTCCTGTTTTGAGGCAAGAGCTGGTTTTGGTTAAGACATCCAAAATGGAATCTGGTATCTGAGCCCCCAGACCACCTGTCTCAGTGTTCCCCACCTCAGAGAAGCTCCACCCTGCACTCCAGGTACCCGAGACAGAATCCTGGGCATACTCTCCCTCAGCCCCTGGCCCAGTCAGTCACCCAGTCTTGCTCACTCCTCCTCCCCTCCCTTTTCTCCATCCCCTGCCTCTGCCGTAGCTCATGTGCTGACATCTTCATAGTTCTCCCAGCCTCCCATCTGGCCGCCTCCAGTCCACATTCTCCACTAGAGTCAGGGTGATCTTTCTGAAACACAGACCTGACCATGGTTTTCTCATCCGTGCAATGGGAATGAGGATATTCATTCAGGCCCAGAGGGTTGTCAACAGGACTAAACACATGAGTTGCCCATTAAGTGCTTCAAACCTCCCAATGCTGGGGGAGAGTATAGCTCAAGTGGTAGAGCATGTGCTTAGCATGCGTGAAGTTCTGGGTTCAATCCCTAGTACTTCCTCTAAAAATAAATAAATAAATAAGTGAAACTAATTACTTTCCCCTGACAACAACAACAAAATTTTAATTAAAAAAAAACCTCCCAATGCCATCCATTATTAAGGATCAAGGTTAAAACCCCTAACATGGCTTATAATCCCCTAGTGTCTGGCCTGGCTGACCATTCTGGTCTCATTTCTTACTTCCTTTGGTTCTCTCCCATCAGCTGACCCTAACTCCCTCCACAGGGTAGGTGAGAGACCTCTGCTAGGGTCCCCCTGCTCCTGTGCTTAGGAATTCCTCTGATCCCTGTACTGGAGTGAGAGCTGAGTTGGGGGGCACCACTGGATCGCTAGCACCCAGAACAGGGTCTGGCATTCCAGGTCTATTTAAGTTCAAGGTGATATTTGACCATATCTGAGAAAAAGGATTTCTTATCAACTAGTCCCTGAGGGTTTACTCTGGGTTTTGCAAAGCACTAACAGAGCCTTCTGTGAAAACACAGAAGTTTCAGGGAAAAAATCTGGAGGGAGAACAAGGGGGGGCTAGGAATCGGAAAATCTTGGCCTCTTCTGTGCAGCAGTCTTGAGTAAGTGTGACCTGGGCTCTGCTCATAGCGGCCTTTGGGAACCGGGAACTCGCTCCCAAGGTTGCCCCTTTTCCTTGCTAGATGGTTCTGGTTTCAGCCGAGTTCTTTCTTCATAGTCTCTAATTTTCACCCACTAATCCCAGCTCTGCCCTCTGGTTCTGTGGGGAATAGGTCAGCTCCAGCCACTTGGGTCCTATTCTGTTTCTCTCAACTGCCAAGTTTACTTCTGCCTTAGGGCCTTTACCATTCCCTCCACCTGAATGTTCTGTTGCCCGGATTTTTGCATGGTTGGTTGCTTCTTTGACATTTAGTGCTTAGCTTAAAGGTAACCTCTCCAGAGAGGCCTTTCCTGATTACCTGATCTAAATAAGCACATCCTTTGTCACACCCCCATGTAATTCACCAGCAAGGGCAGGGAATTTTCGCTCTTATTTATGACTGTATCCTAGATTGATGTAGCTATTAGGCACAATAAGCAGCATCCCTAGGGCTGGTGATACTTTTAGGGGCTCATGAAAATGTTTTAGTTTCTTTTAGAGTCTGAAGAGAAAAAAATTAATATTATCCAACTTGGATTATATTCCTGTTTATACCAATGCAGTTGTAAACTATCCTTTTTAACATGTTTTTAATGGAGGAAGGAGCCCAAGAAGGAAAACTGCCTAGGGCCCATGAAAGTCATTATGTGGCCCTGGCTACATCCTTACCACCTAGAATAATGCCCCGCACTTAGTAGGTGCTCAACGAAAATTTGTTTTGAATCAATGAATGCTCCTTCAGTCTTATCATGGCCTTGCAGTCTTTGAAATGGCAAATGACTCTGATTCCTGGGTTTCCTATTCCCTGAGCTAATCAGTCTAAACACTCCCTAGTTTGTTTATTTTATATAAGCTGGAAGGAGTCTTAATCAAGGGGTAGTCCAAATTTCTCATATTAGCTGTGGGAAAACCAAGGCCTTGACTTTAATTTGCTTTAACAGGTGTAGGAATTTAAGAGGAAGAGCTGCCCCAAAGTGGGACAAAGCAGGGGGCAGTCCCAAGAGACAGCATAGTATTTGGTTATAAACTCCAGCTTTTGAAGCAAACAGATCTGGTTGAAATCCCAGCTCTGCCACTTGCTGTGTCACTTCGGCCAAGTGCTTTCATCTCTCTGAGCCTGTTTATAATTCATTTATAAAATGGAGGTGGCTGGAAAGTTTGATCTTGTCTAGATGTTTAGCACATAGGAAGTGTTAGCTCAAAACAGAGGGTAGACAGTCATTCACTGGAATGATTTTGGGATAAAGGATGTTGGAGAATAGGGTGGAGGTATTGTATTGGATGGCTGTTGTTGATAAAAACTGTTGGTTTTGGTTTGACCAACATCCAATCCCTCCTTTTCTGGTAATAGTTTCCTTTGGGGAATGACCCCTCCGCCGCTCTCAGTCCATGTTTCAGAGAGGCTGATCCCAACCTCCCTTCCACTGGGGAGCACCAAACCAAGGTCTAGCGAAGAAGTCAAGTGATTGGTACAGGACGGGGTTCATAACCCAGGCTTGGCTAATCAGAGTCAGTGGATCCTGGAAAGAGACTCTCTCTGCTGGGATGGTCAAGTTGGCAGGACATGGAACTGGAGCTGCTGGGAGCCATCTTGCCCTCACGAATGGAGAGCCAACCCAGACAACAGCAGAGCAAGAGAGGCAGATTCCTGGCCATCTCATTTAACCCTCCACCTGGAACGAACCAAGCCTCATGCCCCTGAACTTTTTGTTTAAAGGCTCCAGTAAATCCCCTTTCATGCTTAAGCCAGTTTTAGCTAGGTTTATGTTAATTACAATTAAGAGTCTTTATTAATACAATGACCCCCACATCTAGAAAAAGGGGAAAGAGAATGCATTGTTGGTGACCTCTGGGATTCCAGAAGGAATAGGCAAGTGAGAGAGGCATTCTTCATTTTCTTCATGTGCTCCTTCTGAGCACAGTACCTAAGTAGAGAACCTGAACAAAGCAGGCACTTATTTTTGGAGTTAATGAATGAAGAGATCGGTGGATGGAAAGTCATTGGGGAAGACAATGGGGGATAGGATGAACTCTGGCTCTTTTCTTTACCCAGACTTTGGAGGTAGGGAGAAATCTGATCCAACCTCAATCTGATAGGAAAATCACCTCTATGAGATTCCTGACAGTTGGTAGTTGCTTAATGGTGGAATGAATAGGTGAATAAAAGAAAGGAAGGAAGGGCATGTAAGAAACTCAGAATGTCAAAACCTTCAAGGGCTTAGAGATGATCTTTGTCAACCACCTCAGAATTCTCTCATCTTGAAATGGCAGTAATATTCAAACCTACTTCCTCCGTGGAATTGTTGTAAGGATTAAAGGATGTCATACAAACAAAAGGCTTAGCAAAAAGCCTGGCAAGTTAGTAAATGCTCAGTAAACATTACTGTTATTATTATTCAACCAGAGTGGCTGGAGATGTAAGGAAGATGGGCCAGGGGGAATGCTTACCTGTCACTGAGACTCAGGGAACTGGCTCTGGGCCGTTCAGGGGAGCATAGGTATTTGCTGGAACCCCACATCTGCAAAGAGGGAAAAAGAAAGAATTATTAGTAACCTCTGGGATTCCAGGAGGAATGCAGTGTGACAGGCAGCCTCATTTTCCCCATGGTGATCCTTTGAGCACTCAGAGGTCCCAAAATAAGTCCCCAGGCCCCATAAATACAGGCCAAGAGACCAAATTAAAATACCAAAACTCTATGAATTCTAGATTGTAAATTTGGGCCCCTAAGTCATGATCCACACCTAAAACTAAAAGCAATAAATTCTCAAACTTTGACTTCAGAACTTCAGTTTTAACAGTGAGATGTAAGACTCTGTAATGGGGACCAGAACTGAAAACCATGGCTTGAGATCTCTAAACTGTGATATTAAGACACTAAAACTGACTTTAAACTCCCAAAGTGAGGACATAGAACCCTAAAAGAGCCCTTCCCAGACCTAAAAACCCTAAACTCTAATACTGAGATACTCTAGACCCCCCTAAACTATTACCTTCTGATCTTCAAATATGAGCCTAATCCCACATATCAAGATTACAGACCATAAACCTTAATACTGAGGACCCAATTCCTAAAGTAAGAAATCTAAGCCCCTCAAAGCAAAACTGAGCCCCCTAAATTGACCTCAGATCCTAAAATAAAGACCTCTAGACCCCAAAACTGTCACTTCAGACCCTCAAGTTGTGACCCCAACTCTAAAACCGAGATCTCACAGGTGAGTTTCACTCTGAGACTCAAACTCTTAAACTGAAGCCTCATACTCAATATGGGGGACTCCGGGCCCTAACACTTAATTCTCAAAGTTCCAAATTGTGACTCCAGGCCCTAAATCTCATACCTCCTACCCTACATTGAGATTCTAGACCTTAAATCTATACTAAGGCTTCAGTCCTCCCCAGTTCGACCTCAGATCCCCAAAATGATACTCCAGACTTCAAGCTGGGATCTCCAATTCCAATGGGAAAGCTTCCAGTCACAAAACCTAAGACCTTCAGATTTCCAAAACTAGTTCTGTCCAAACACAAATCCCAAGTCCCTAGATTCTAACTTGTGACCCTCAGCACCACTATTCAGAGACTTCATATTTCAAACTTGAGTCTGGATTCCAAAACCTATGCCCTGCCTCAGACCCAAACTCCGGCTCTGCTGCCCAGGTCCTGCCTCCACTACAGCCCCGGCACCCAAGGCATACCCGCCCTCCTGTCCCCCTGAAACTCCCAGAGGGTGGCCACGACCACAAAGTGTTGCTCCTGGGTAGACCCCAGGCTCCCTTCTGGTCAGCTAGTCCCCCGCCCCTTTTCCCTCAGCTTCCAGCACCCGCCTCAGGAAGTGCAAAATGGCGTGAGGCCCCCTTTCTGGTTTTGCGCCAGCCCCACACTTCGAAGCCGGATCAGACAGCGTCTCGCGCTGGTCCCGGGAGAATGGCCGCGCGTGAGCCCAGGCTGGCCTCGGCCACTACGTTCCCAACCCAAGCGTGAGGTGGGCGCAAATCCCCTTTGGCGCGAGGCTCCTGCTCAAGGCCTGAGGAGGAGAGCAACAGGGAGCTTTTGAGGCCAGGCCACGCCCCCACCAGTTCCCGCCAGGGCGTGCTGGGCACGAGACTGGAGAGGAGAAACGGCAGGGTGCAATGGCCTGCGCACGCGCGCCCGGGAAATGTTCCCTGTCTTCTACACAGCGCGAGCCTGGCCTCGCGCCTCCTGACACAGCCTTTGCTGTTGCGCGCCAAAGTTCCGACCAATCAGCGCTCACTCAGTTGCCCGCCTTTTCGGTAGGCACGCCCCACATGGCCACGCCCCCCGGCGACCAGGTCCAGGACCAAAGGAGCCTAAAGGGAGGCGGGGTCTCCCTAACTGCCAACTCTCAGGGAGAAAGAGATCTGACCAGTTTCCCAATTTGCTCTCTGGTGTCTCATTTCCACATTTTCCCTTTACCACATGTCTAATGAGGGCCTAATGTGTGCCAAGCACCATGCTGGAAGTTGGGAATTTAACTGAAGTCTTACCTGTGCATAGGCTGTGAGAACTCCAGTGAGGCTGAGGCTGCACTGAAGAGCCACAAACTGAGAAAAGGTGCAAAGAGGAGGGCCATTGGAGTTGGGCCTGAGTAGCAGTTCCCCCTTGTGAAGCTGTTATGTCCCTTTATGTAGCAAACTCTCCATTTTATAAAGTTCACTCTCATGGCCCATGAGGAGGATGTGCAGGAAAATATAGCTTAAGGAGAGGTAATCTAGCAATCTGGTGGAGAGTAGAGACCCTGGTGTCCCACACATTTAAGTTCAAATCACTTTCTTGCTGTGTTGCCATGGAGAAAACCTCAAGCTCTTTCTGCCTTAATTTTTATAAATTTGGGGTAATTCTTACTAGGGTTCTCTGCAGAGTGGCATATAATTACCATACAATAAATATTTACTCAGCACTTATTTACACTGTTTTGGGTGCTTGAACAAGATACTCAAAGGTGCTTGTCCTCGTGGAGCATCTGTCTAACTATGATGTGTGCAAATTCCTAGTGCATGGAGATTTCCTCCCTCCTAAGGCTTAAAGTCCTTATTTGTGAATTAGGGGGTGGTGGTCAGAAAACCAGGGAGGAAATGGATGGGAAAGTGAAAAAGTACAGGCACTGTTAATTATTATGCTAATCAGTTTAAGTAAATCGATAAACTTGCTCTTTCCCAACTCTCCACCCCTCACAAACGCCCTTTTGCAATATTCTCAATTCCTTTTCCAAGAGCCCCGGACAAAGATGGAGGAAGCTGGACTCCAACTCCCAGCACGCCTGGCGGGGGCGCTCTCTGCGCCTGCGCTGCCAGGCGCCCTCTCTGCCCCCCTGGGAGTTAGAGTCGTTCTTTGACTCAGCCCGCCCAGTTTGCGTCCTTCCCCACCTCCAAGCTTGACCGTGCTGCCTTCTGGGAGATGTAGTCCATGGCTGCCCAGACTCCAATTCCCAGCGGGCTTCGGGGCGGGAACCCGGAAGGGGAGGCTGGAGAGGAGCGAGTGGGGGAAACCCGCGTAGCCGAGGGAGCTGCAGCGCGCGGAGATGGTGAGAACCCCGAGCGGGGGCCGGGGGCGCTTGAGAACCGAGGCGGGGGTTCGGGACCTGGTGGCGAGAGGGAAGAGGCAGTGGCTAAAGAAGGGGCTGGATGAGGGGAGGTCGCTCGGGGGAGGGGATTGGGAGAAATGGGAGTCGGAGGGAATAGTAGAAGAATGGGGGCTGGGGATGGGTCTTGAAGGTGGGGAGAGAGTCGAGCTTTGGGATTGATTATAAGGGAGCTCAGAGCTGGGGAAAGGAGTCCCGAGTTGGAGAAGGGGCTGGGCGTCCAGGCAGAGGCCCTTAAGGGGGCAATTTCGAGAGGTATAGCCTGGGGGATGTGGAAAGGCATAGGAGTCAGTGCTAGATGAATGAGGGAGTCTAGAGGCTCCAAGGGAGAAGCCAGCTGTGGATGCTGTGGTTTGGAGCCTCTGGGTCGGATTGAGGGCAAGAGGGCAAACTGAGATGATGGAAGAGAGAGATCAGTGGTAGAGTGGTGTGTAAGTTAGGATCCAGGACTGTGGGTAGGGTGGGGAGCAAGAGATTAGGGGCCTGCATATGGCAATAGTTTGCTTAGTCCAGCCAGAGACTCCCGATAAACTGGGCAGTCACAGAACTGTAGGATAATATGGCCAGAAGGGGCCATAGAGACCTTTTACACTTTCATTTCTCCAGTGGGATTTAGAAAAGTGTAGTGGTTTATGTGCATGGACAGTTCAACATTCAGATCTTTTCTTCTGCCACTCCTTTATGACCTGGGCAAGTGTCCCCTCTCTGACACTGAGTGCCCTTATCTGTATTGTGGGAACAACATGCCACTGAGAAGAGAGGAGGCTCTACAAGGTCGTCATCCTGGCTGGCAGTAAGTCCTTAGTCTCAGAGCTGTTGGTGGGAAATTCCCTACTCCAGGAATGTGACTAGGTCACAGGTGCTAATGGATTCCCTCCTTTTCAGTCCAGCCCCAGGGGTGTTTTCTCAAAACTTGGCACACCCCAGCTTTGAAGCATGCAGGGTTTCCCCACAGTCAATTCCAGCTAAAACTTACTGTTTAGAAAGTGCCCGGCCCTGTTCTCAGCTGTTTGTATGTATTAACTCATTTAAGTCTGACAACATCCCTAAGTTGTAGGTGCTGTTATTATCTCCATTCCACAGAAAGGAAGCAGAGGCACAGAGAAGTTCAGCAACTTTCCCAAGGTCATCCAGCATTAAATGGTAGACTCAGGATTTAAGCTGAGGAATCCTGGCTCAGAATCTGTGCTCTCACCACGGTAATTTAGCCCCCTCTCCTCGTGCTGAACTACAATATTATGAGTAGGGCGGAGACTTGAGAACTGAAGCAGTCTTCAGTTTGAATTTTAGTTCTGCCATGTACTTGCTGTGAGACCTTAGGCAAGTCTTTTTGCCACTCTTTAACTATAAAATGGGAGCAGGAACCATAGGAAGGTTAGAGGGTTCACGGAGGTAAGCATGTAAAGTGCTTGGATAAGTGCTTGATACATGTGAGTTGTCATTCTTTTGAATGGAAAATGAGAAACTCAGACCTGAGGGAAAAGGCAGTAGTGAGGGACTAGTGAGGGAGACATCAGCCAGACTGCCTCCTTTCCTTCTCTCCCAGGTTGCTCCCACATCCTGAATCTTCTGGTCCCCTACTCTCTCCCTTTGGGCTGCCAAGTCCAAGGGTGACTCCTCAAGGGGATGGTCAGAAACTCAATCGGTCCGCATTCCCATTCCCAGCCAAATATAAATAATTCACTTGCCAGGGCCCAGCCTGGCCCAACTCCAAGTGTTTCAGCAAATAGGAAATATTTCTAACAACTGTGTGTCCCCCCCCCCCTTTTTGGTCATTAGGACCTCACTGGGCAGTTTGGCAACTTTGTAAGTCATTTTGAAACAATTTGGTTCATTTGTTGTGAGGTCTCCTGAGTTTATCCCATAAGTTCTCTGACTCTGATAGGAAAGCTTCAGGTTAAAAGCACTGGCATCAGAGAGGCGCTGGCCCGCATCTCCATCTCAGGTGCTGTGTTTCCTTGGCCAAGTTGCATTCCCACTCTGGGCCTCAGTTTTCTCATATGTGAAATGGGTTCACTTTCCAAACATGAGACCCTTGTAAGGAGTTGACGAGAAAACATGTATAAAATGCCAAGTGCATATTAAGCTCTTAATAAGTGTGTGGTCTTTTGGTTAATTTTATTCTTTCAAGAAAAGTGTATTGAGCATGTGCTCTGGAAACAGAACACCCAGTTTTGAATCCTGGCTCCATCACCCACCAGCTGTGTGACTTTGGGGAAGTCACTTAACCCCTCTGGACCTCAGTCTCCTCTTCTGGAAAATGAGGGTTCATCCTTTGAGTAGTCCACAGTGTTGACAGAGCACCTTCTATGTGCCAGGTCTTGTACCAAGTGCAGGCTGACACCCTGCCCTTGGGAAGCTTTCTGTTGTCACAACACTGGGGCAGCCTTGCAGCTCTGGTGGCATTTGTGCTCACTTTTTGGTTTGGGTTTCTCTGTCACTGATTCATTTTCAGCCGCTCATGCCAGCTTTGCCTGCTTGTCATTGCTTTGCTGGATTTTTAACATTTTTCCTCCAATTCTCAGTGGAATTATCTGAAAACCTATTGGTTTGAGGAAAAGTTGCAAACCTCTAACTTGTCCCTGTTCCTGTTTGTCACATCTGGGTGCCCCGGGGTGATGTGACACTTTTTTCCCCTCTTTTCCTTTGTTTGTCTTAGAAAATGTATCTGCTTTCCAAGTTATTCTGCCTTTTCTTAAAATCTTAAATGTGTTTTCAGCCTGTGCTTGTCTGAAGCTTACTCATACAAAATGATATTTTTACCATTTCTAACGGTATATTTCTAGCAGCTCTGGTAAACTGAATTATTCCTAAAAACACAGGTTTTCTAAAACACTTGGCTTGTCACCTGCTCTGTGATGCTGTCCTGACCCCTCAGTTAAGATCATAAACCCTGCCTTAAACCCCGATCCCTCTTTCTTGCTCTATGTCTTTCCCTGTAGCACCTTGAAATTTACTATATATTTATTGTCCCCTCTCCCTAGTCCATGAGGACAAGAATTTCTGTCTCCTGGACCCTGCAGATCCCTGATGCCCAGAACAGTGCCTGGCACACAGTAGCTGGTCTGTAAATTCTGTTTAATTACTAGGTGAGACCTAATACCCAACAATAACAAAGGAATGACTGTTGAATGAGAATTGATTATTGTGAGGGACTAGGATCGGTCTAATTTCAGAATGTGAAATAAAGAGGGAAGAAGCATTTGGCTCAGCTGGTGATCTTCAGTAGTCTCACCTATTTTTTTCCTTTTTAAATTTCATTTGCTGGTTTTGTTTGTTTGTTTGGTGGGGGGGTAATTAGGTTTATTTATTTACTTATTTTAATGGAAGTACTGGGGATTGGACCCAGGACCTCGTGTATGGTAGGCACGCGCTCTACCACTGAGCTGTACCCTCCCCCGCTAGTAGTCCCACCTTTTCTTAATAATCCCAGCACCTGCGTATGGAACCTCTCCTTGGCGCCTAGGTGGCACTGAGTGCTCTACTGGGTTGATCTCAGTGAATTGTCAGCCAGCTCATGGATGGGCACTGTTATTATCTGTGTTTTACAGTGGGGGAAACTGAGGCATGGAGGGTTAAGGACCCTGCCTATGGTAACTCACACCCAAAAACTAGGGAAGCTGGGGTGCTCGCAGGCCCTGCCTGGATTCTGTTTGTGCCCTGGACCTCTACATCCTGAGGATTTGGATAAGTCCTACCATCCAGGAGCTATTAATTGGAAAGGAAAGCTTGGGAAGGGGAGAGAAACCAGCAGACCCTGAGTCCAACCATCCAATAAAGGAGTATAGATGGATCAGGAATGTGGAAAAAGTGGTAGTGGGGGGTGCAGGGTGGAGAGAGTGGAGGGAAGAAAGGGCAGGACCAGGAGCAGAGTCCTGGGGTCCTGCCACTGATGCCTGTGTGACTGTTGGCAGGTGCATTCCCTGGGCATTGTTCTGTGCCCAGCCTGGGCTGGCATGACCCTGACCCCCAACTCAGGGATGGAGGCACCCCAGGGTGGGGAAAGGGGCAGGTATCACCTGAGTCAGCGTTGGGGTCAGGCATCTGCCTTTTTTTTTTTAATCATTTTTTTCCTTCTTTCTTTGGTTTATTCTGTGGTTGATACTGTTTCCAGCTTCTTAAGCTGCATGCTTAGCTTGTTCATGGTCAGCCTTTCTCCTTTCTCTGCGCATCCATGGGGGCAGGGGCTCCCTAGACCTGCTACACAGCTCTCCTCCTCGGAGCTCCCCTTGCCTTCATCTGGGGACTTCTTTTGCCCATCTTCTGGGCTTGATTTTACTTCCTTGATCTGATAGCTTTCTAAGGGTTCATGGACATGTTTTTTTGTTTGTCTGTTTTGCTTTGCAGACTTGCACCTCTCATGGAAGGGTTTTAGGCAGGGGAGTGATATGGTCTGATGTGTGTTTGGAAAGATCACTCTGGCTACCATAGAAAGGATGAAGCAGGAAGAGCTAAACCAGGCCAGTGAGCCAAGTGCAGAGGCTGGAGCAGCTACGCCTTTGAGGAGAGGTCCCAGCCTTCCAGAAGTCCAGAGGATGGAGGGGAGAGAGGCCCACACCCAGGTCATTGTCATTGAGGAATGACAGGTGCTCCAAGAGGAGGCCTCAGGAGCAAGAGAGCCTATGTAGCTTAGGAGGGTACCAGGACAGCTCCTGGAGAAGAGGCATCCTGCCTTGGTCCTAGGAGCACGATTTCCACCAGTGGACTTGGCTGGAGCCAACTAGTTTTTTACAAGAGGTCCCCAGTAGCCACTGTGCAGAAGGCAGACAACATGGCATCCTTAGGGGTTTGTTCAAACACGTACTGCACATCTGCAATGTGCCAGGGCTTTACTTCTCAAACTTAAACGAATCTCCCAGAGATCTTGTTGAAGTGCATGTTCTGATTCAGTAGGTGTACCGCAGAACCCAAGATTGCATTTCTAACACGATCCCAAGAGCTGC